AGAAAGAAAGAAAGAAAGAAAGATAGATAGATAGATAGATAGATAAGAAATATTAGATAGATGAGTTTGAATGAGTTGGAATGGATTAGAAATAGTACATAGAAGGGAAGCTTGATTGAATCTAATGGGCTTCAGTGTGTTTACATTTGAATTTTGTCAGTTGGAGTTTGAATAGTCTTGGCTCATTAGAACATTCCGTCAATGTAAGTCTATGGGATTTTTATGATTTTTAATCTTCAGTTTTATAAAAACTATAAGTCGGATCAGTCTGAAAAGATATGTTATTATTTCTCAAGCCAACCTAATAATATATATATATATAAAATAAATAAATAAAAAATAAATAAATATATCTGTCTAAGGATGCATAAGGGTTAATAACTGGAAGAATAACAAAGCGCCGCTCTTACATTAAATATACAGTAAGGTGCATAAAACACAATACTCTCACTACCCTAAAGAAAAGCAAAACTGAGCAGCCAAAATATCACATAACCCCATTATGAGTACATTATGAGAAAAGACATTCATGTGTGCAACAGCTCCGAGAGATCCAGACCGCCGGAGGGGCTTGTTAGCATTTGCACCATGCTAACTGCTCAATCTTTTTCAGATATGGATTTTCAGTCAACTGTAAAGCAATTTATGGGTCGTGTACGTGCTGCTACTGCAACTCGCCGGCTCGTGAACGCTCGTGCTAATCACTCTTCAACTCAACGTTCAATTTCAGACCATTAGAGAGCGATACAAATACCCAGGTTGTTTGCTAAACGTATGATACTTGTATCCTGAGCAGTTTAAAGGGGGTTTTGCACTAAAACTGGCCTGATGAGCCACTTTAGGTTGGTTTTGTCCAGCAGGATCTGGACGTGACACTGTTTTCCCTCTTTTAGAGGTGCATTGGAGTGGTAAGTGATATTATCGCTGTCATTTCTCTTCTTGTCGCTCGGCCAGAGATGATTAGCGCTCATTAACTTCTGCCACAGATCCAGCCGAGAGCCAGAGCACATCTCATTCAAACTCTCACAGAGACGTGACTAACCAGCCCTTAGAAGATGCTTTAGAGAACACATCTTCAATAGCAATTCATAACCTTCTTCTGCTCCAAACAGACCCTCGTTCAGCGGGAATGAGGTCACGATGAGTGCCGAACGTTAGATTGAAACACAGATCGGTCAATTCACTGAGGAATCTCAGAAAAACCATCAAAAACACGGCTGGGTCACATTTCAAGCCCAACCAGAATAAACATGTTTTTGCATTTTGCATGACGAAAATGAAGCCTGTTTTTGGAGACCGTGCATTATTTTTCTTTGCATTACAGTAATGAGGATTTGAGGGTTAATTGATGATGCATTATTCAAAGGGTGAAGTATTTAGACATATTAGTAGTATTTGCTGATTTGTATTTAATTAATGCTGATTTAAATAAACAAAATGCTGTCCTACAATGAGAAGCATAAATAAGAACTTAAGCTCCTTAAACGTCCAAACTCATACAGCGACCATAATTATTTGTGTTTGACTGACATGAAAATAATGTCATAATGCAAAAAACCAGAAGAAGCTTTTATTTTGCATGACTATTTTTTAGAGCCAGTGCATTACTTTTCTTTGCATTACAGTAAGTGGACTACAAAATCGTAAAGTATTATACAACAACAATGAGAATCTAATGAGAAACATAAATGAGAAGCTCCTTAAACATAGAGTCACATATAGCAATGGAAATATTTATCATGAAAATAATGTAAAAAAATCATACTGGCCTTAAAGGGGTCATATGATGCGATTTCATTTTTTCCTTTCTCTTTAGAGTGTTACAAGCTCTTGGTGCATAAAGAAGATTTGTAAAGTTGCAAAGACTAAAGTCTAAAATCCAAAGAGATATTCTTTATAAAAGTTAAGAGTTAGCCACACCTACCTAAAACGGCTCGTTCGAACACGCCCCCACATACAGTGGGGCAAAAAAGTATTTAGTCAGCCACCAATT